GGGGAGAGGATCCACCAGCGACAGAGTGGGGAGCAGAACAGGCAGATACACTCCTGAGGGGAGCAGCTAGCAGGACTGCTGTGTCAGTCAGTTCCCTAGTTGGGAATCGAAATCATGTTGCAGTGGCTGTGCATAGCTTCACAGTGCTGTGCTTTAACCTGTTGTGCCCCAAGGGAGGGCCCAATTCCTGTTTTCACAGGAGAGCAACGGTGGGAGCCAGGACCCTGGCAGTGATGAGCCAGACCACCATTTGGCACTTGACTTCTCTCAAAATTTGTCAAGCTATAGATTTTTGACCACCAGATTCTTTTCCCCCAAGTTTCCTTCTAGCCTCAATCTCCCTTATCCCCAAAATCCTGCAATTGTTGTAGAAGATACTGTACACCCCACAGCTCCCGTCACCTGGACTTCAACATGGCGGCCTCAACAGTATGGCGAGACATTGCCAAAGCCCACTCTCTGAGTCCCCATCTAAACTCTACATCCTAGTTTGAGAAGCAGAGGTTTACGCTAATTTCAATGCAGCCTATCTTGATTCTTTTAACCTGGTCAGCATTAAATCAGATACTTTTGGAGAACAGCAGTGCCTTGGCACTGCAAGAAAGCTCTCTGACCAAATCCTTGACTGAGGCAGAAACCTATTCTCTGTGTGCTGTTTATTCAGGGGGAGCATAGCTCAGATGTGGCCTCAGGTTGGCTCAGGAGTTGTGGCTTTGCCCAGGTTTGCAGCTGAAGACTGAAACATAGCTGGACCTCAAGTCATCTTCCCAAAGGTTCCAGTCAGTGCTCGTGCCTGGAGGGGACGCAGGACTCAGAGCCCTGCTCTGGTCAGCCGGGCTCCCTGACCACCAGACCACACAGTCAGTGTTTAACGTGCACTCAGCAAACCTCAAGTTCTAGGCCTGAAGAAACAGTTTTTTTTCCAAAAACAGAGCTCTCTTTGTGAACAATTCAGCAAAAATTCTCTTTCCAGCTGTGAGTTAGGATTCATGTTGCAAATGCTGGTGTTAATTAAAAACATCCACCTTCTACAATTTCAACAAGAGAAAAGCACCACTCAGTATGTGTTCTTAAGCGCTCCTCCCCAAAGCACTTAAAAATGACATTTTTCTTCCTGACATTGGCTGCTGGGGGTTCTGACATATATGATCATTCCTCATTTGCTGCCCCAATGCAAGAGTTGGGACCAAGGTGCTAAATGTGATGGGTCCAAATTGGTCTGGAACATAGTGTTTCTGTCCAGGGTATCAACTAAAGCTCAACTGTTTGTATCAACAGAAAGAATTTTACCTAGCTGCAATCAAATGTTGATCTGCTGAGTCATTAGAAATTGTCTTCATGGGGCCATTAATCCTTCAGACATAGACAAGGTGAGGTAACAAAGCCAGGGGCATTCCCCCAAGGATGACACCATCTACCCAATAATGGGGATGTCAGATTATAACCCTTAACCCCCGTATTCCTAGTGTGGATCTCACTTTACCCACATCTGAAATGATCCAGGGTCAGTGAGATGAACCAGAAGAAGCTGCATTTCCTCAAGCGCCTGTCTCTGCTTGGCCTGTGTCCTGTGTTCACACATGAACCAGACAAGAAAAAACTGAGTCCAACCCGCATCATTATGAAGAATTTCTTTGTTTTTAATCTCACACAGTTTAAAATACAATATGAAATCAGGCTACAGTATATAAAAAACTCTCCAGCAAAATGATGTGCCAGCATCAGCTACTAAAATAAACAAACAAAAAACTCCCCTGTAAGAAATTCTTTTTGCATTAAAAAAAAACATATAGACACTTACATCGCTACATCTCTAAGCTACCTCAGTTCTGATTTTTTTTTAAAAAGCACCTGCTTTTCCTTTTTTCATCTCGCTTTTAAAATTTCAGCTTTTAAAAAATATAAATTATATGAAAATACAAGTTGGAAAATAGTCAAACACAATATAACATCTTTTTTTTTAACCCCTGTACTTCTCAGCTTAAAAAAAAAGTATTCTTAAAAAAAGTTCAATAACTGAGGCAGTATTCCTGATAATTTCCTTTTAATATATATTTATATATGTATATGTATACATATACTTATGGTTCCTTGAAACGTCTTTGGAATGTAGAGAAGAGTTCAACACATTTATATAGACCCCAACGAGAAAGCAGCATGCACAGCATGACTAGTATAGAAAAGGTGTGCTTTTCACCATGAAGATTAGGCAGGTTAATGCTCTAAAACCCAGAGTGTTGATCTCCAAAGGGAGGAAAAGCACATCTGATCTTTGAATGCTACCTCCAATCCCCACAGCCACAAAATCAAGGCTCTGTGTAGGGAAGGCCCTCCCCGGAATGGAGGCGGGAAGCAAAGAGTGCCTCTGAACCCTACAGCCAAAACCCACATGGGTTAAGGCATCTCCAGGATAATAAGGGTTTCACCCAGCTAAGCCAGATTTGCCCATCCTTCCTCTGAAGTTAACATGTGTTTTTAAAAGCATAAATGCAACAATTCTGCTACATTTCCAGTGTATAAACCACCCACCACTCTTCCTGGGATGGTCTCTGGCCTTTGGACAGAAGGAGAAAAAAGCATCTGGCCAGAAATGACAAAGCTGTCTTCATTAATACATTACCTACAAATACTGAAAATTGTGGACCTAGAGAGTAAGGGCATCTTAGCAAACAGCGGGCTGAGGCGCATCTGGAGGCACTTTCTTATATTTATCTGCTGTGGAATTACTGCAGGAAACAGACTCACACAAGGGGAGTTTTCGGCATAAACTGAATGGGGGAAGGTGGATGAGCTGAGAAAGCGGTTGTATGCCTGGTTGCAAAAGCAAGCAATGGCGATGTCCGGCCTAAATTCTACTCTCAACCCCTACTGAAATGTGGAAAGACTTTAGAAAATTCAGGTATGCTATCAGCTGAAGTTCTGCATGTCTGTACACACACACAAACACACGCACGCGCACGCACACACACACACACACACATCTTTCCCAGTGCCCAAAAAAGATCACATAATCTAAGAGAAAACTACGTAGTCCAAACAGTTCCACCGACCACTCCCTGAGCTGCTCCTAAAATATTCTGAGAGCTTCGTTAAGGCACCTGCATCTGAAAGGTCAAAACACACTGCTGGGGTAGTTCTGCTTTCGCTTTCCAAGTGGACACTCCAATTCATCAGTATGAGGAAACTCTGATCACAGAGCCAACCAAGTTCCTGGCAATTCAGGATCTGTAAGAAGACCTGGAAGGACACAACCCACTTTCTTGAAGATAAAGCTAGAAGGTAGTTAGTACTCCAGCTTTTGAGCAGGAGCCCAAGAAAGCCCAGCCCTGAGAAGGCTATTTTAAATACCTAACCTCTCTCACAAAAGTCCTTAAAGCCACCCTCTCATTCTCATCTTCCCAGTCAAGCATACTCATAATGGGGACCGGGGGGGGGGGGGGTGTTCCTGACTGTATTAGGCACTTTTCCTCACTAGTAGATGGTGTTTTCCCCCATAACCCATTTTCAGATCACCATCACAACCAGCAGGAAGATGACGGCCACCAATGACGATGTCTGTTTAAACTTTGGGGGGACTAAAATTATAGTCAAATCTCATGGACCACCTTACTTTGTTCCCTTTTAGGTTTCTTTTGCCTGCAAGCCATTCCTCTCTTCTGCAGTTATCAATCTGCACTCTCCCTGTGATAAGATCGCACATCAAGCATGAGGCCCATAATTGCAACAACACTATACCCTTTGCATACACAGTCTCACGTAACAACCCACTTAGCTGGCTTAGTTCTTCAAAGGAAAGTCCTGCACTTCTCCTATGGATAGGAAAACCACATTTTACTTATACACTCCCTGTTTCCATTGCTCCCCAAACCCTGCAAGTCCAAATGGCTTCATCACACACTCTTCAATTCATGTCACATCAGCAGTTATTCTTTTTCTCACCAATCAGAAAGCTGCACACTTCTCTCTACTGAAAACAGAGTGGTGGAAAGCAATAAATGTGGGGGTGCCAGGAAAATAAGAAGTATAGGAGAAAGTGTGGAATATCTGGAATGACATGCATTTGGGACTTATTTCTGAGGATGGTAATGCCCAAGCATACAGCTTGTGTCTCCAAGCCATATACATTACAATAAAGAACCAATAAAGAACCAAACCCATCTTCCTCCTTTGACTCCCTCTCTGGAACTTCAACAGTGCTCCTACATTGACTGTGGTCCAAAACCAAGGCTGAAAAATACATTCAGTTCAAAGACGTAATGCTTCTTAGCTCAATGTTAAGCCCACACCCTGATAATCCACTGGTGACAAATAAGTAGAGGGGCGCAATCACAATATTTAAAAAATTATAGAAGAAATTCACATGTGCAGTTCCCATGTACCCAAGTCAGCATTGTTTTTTTTTTTTTTCCTTCATATAGATGTCACATGAATTTGGGATCCCCAATCTCCGTGACAGCGCTTTGCATTTCCAGTGGGGTCTATATAAACAGTTTCTTTCACTGTGACAGAATCCTCAGCCGGCAAATAAAACAAGCTTGCATGATACAATACTGAGACCACCTTAGAGCTTAAGACGATTTTTAAGAAAAAAAAAATACTGGCACAAAATTTAATAAAATAAATTTTAACACAAAAACCGTTTTGGCCCCTCCCCACTGAAGTCCATTTTGGAAAGTAGAGTAAAAAGGTCCTTGGTTTCTAGTGCATCCCCCAGACACAATGTTTTATCCCACCTCCCTCTTTTCGTCCTTACCAGACCTAGAAACAAAAGCAAATTAACCGTCTCTCATCAGTCTTAAAGACTCCTGATGCGTAAATTCCTTTTGCTCATAGGTCCATAACTCAAAAGCATGGATGATTTTTAAAAACTTAATGACCACGTTAGTCTCCTCCTCCCTTAAGCCAGATTCTTTTGGGCTCTAAGACCACCCCCTTCTCTCTCTCCTGAAAATTTGCTCCAGAATTTCTTGCTCCACCCACCCCACAAATCCTCGTTTTCCTTTTACAACTGAGCACACTTGATTATAGCTGCAGCTCACTTAGCTCCCACCCCTGAATGTAAAAATGAGTTCTGAAAAATTAAAAATAGAATAACATTTAAAAATTAAGAGTCTGAACGCTGTGGCTGTTCTCTGAAATGTATCAGCAGAGTTTCCCTGACCCCTGGGTGTCTGTCACTCGTCGGCATCGGGCTTGACGTCCAGCATGGCGTGCAGCTCCTCAGGTGTGTATCCCAGGAGGCTCTGCAGGTCACACACGAAGCGGTACACATAGCGTTTACCCGCTGTCTTGTGGATGATGTTTTTGTCATAATAGTAGCGTAGGCCACGGCTCAGTTTCTCATAATTCATCTTGGGTTTGTTTTTCCTCTTTCCCCATCTCCTGGCCACCTGAAATTTTTTTTAAAAGGGGCAAAAGGTAAGGAAAGGCTAAATACTACAGAAGAACCCAACAACACATGTTTATTCTATGCCCACTCATAGGGATCCCAAATGTACAGGTGAGATGGAAAATGAGATTCATATGCTTGGAAGATATTTTTCTGACCTATATTCTGGATTCTACTTTTCAAGAGTTGGGCAGGAAGGGCAGTCAAGTTGATTCTTTATGTTGTTGAAAACACAGCCTCTAATTTTTTATGGAATGGAGTGACACTGAAAATAAAGAAAAGCACCACTCTCTACCCTCTCTTTTCCCTATAACATTAGGAACCAGTAGAACGTCCTTCTTTTGAAATTAGGAAATCCACAGTGAGGGGCTGGCGTGGTCCTGAGCTCCATCAGACATGCCTTTCATCACAGGATGCTTCTTCATTCTGTTCCGGGGCACAAGGTCTTCTTCTCGTGTCTACCAGAACAGAGATGCTGTCTCCCTTGCTCATCTAATTTACCCTCAGAAATGAGCAAGATACCAAATTACCACTCAATGACCATTGTGCAGTAAGAGTGAATGAATGAGCAATCATACTAACCCTCCAAGGCCAGTTGAATTGGAGGGCCCCACTCAGATTCAGAGTCAAGGCAGCAGGAGAGGCCAAGGCAGAGAGAGCAATGCCTATTTATAGGGGGCCTACTATGTGTGAGGCCTTCAGGTGCCCTGCCAGTTAGTTCCAGAAAACAAGTAGGCAACATAGACATTTTCTCTATTTTCCAATGATAAAACTGAGGCTCAGACATGCTACTTGGTCACTCTGAATCAGGCAAGTAGCAAGTGGCAGTGCTGGAGTTCAGGTCCTAGAAAATGTCACCCAGACCCACAAGCTCCCCATCCAGCATTCTCCCTCATCTTCCCTCCAGGGTCCCTTGGAGTCACACACGGCTTACCTCATCTGGGTCAGAGAGCTTGAATTCCCAGCCATCTCCTGTCCAGCTGATGAAAGACTGACAGGACTTATCAGTGAGTAATTCCAGAAGAAACTGCCACAGCTGGATTGGTCCACTGCCTGAAAACACAAGGCGTGCAAATCATTACACAGGTGCTCAGCACTCAGGTAACTCACCCCGTGATGCGAAGCTCACAAGCACTCCCTGTTAGGGAGCCTGATCTGCAAGTGAGAAAAGTTCCTAGGATAACTGACCCAGGAAATACAAGTTCAATATTCTTTTGGTCATAATATTCCTCTCCACTAAACTCCTGACCTCCCAGGCAAGCACCGAGACTAAGGAAGGGAAGCAGCATCTCCTTGTAAAGAATTAATTTGCTGCCACGGTCTGAGACCAGATGGGGACTGTCTCAAATTCTTCATGGGTTCAATGGTCTCATCATTAACCTGAGTTTCAAATTTGTGTGATTCAAAGCGAACTGAGATTCATAGGCTTTCAGTTCCCTACCAATCTAGAAGAGAAATGCCCTTTATGACCTACAAGGGTAACCTACTGTTATATCTTCTATTTCCACAAGGCACATTCACGTGCATCATTTTACTTGCTCCTAGAATCCACTGCCTGCCCCTCTCTATAGGTGAGGCACACATGCTCTCACATGTCCATCCTCTTGGTACAGAAAGAGATGCTCCGAAAAGTTGCTTTAAGGCACAGTTAGAACATGGCAGGGCTGGGTCTAATGGCTGGATGGTCAGACCCCAGGCACCAGGGCCCCCCTGAGGAAACCCTGACAACACAGTGAGGGAACAGTGACTGCCCGAGTTATCCACAGCCAGCAAAGAAAATGCTCCTTCAGCAGCTGCTTCCTGTAGGTGGTAGTTTCCAGCAATCCTCCTCAGCGCCACCCAAGCTAAATGTGGAAAATTAATTATCTCGATCTCATCCTTCTAAGAATGCCCCTAGAGTTTTTAAAACCCTCTTGCAAGAAATACCCATCCTGGAATAAAAGTTCCCCATATTCTCACATATTCTAGAGTTAAAATAAATTTGGGAAATGACAACAGAATAAACTAACACTCGAAGAAACAGCCCAGAAATGTTTGAAGAAATATCTCTACCCTGTGAGAAAACCACACAGTATACAACTCCAACACATGTTCAGGTCTCTTGAGAGTTGATTTGAGTCACCAGCCATTACTCCTTGTTAGGGATAAGGGGCCAGGTGTAACATTCTGTGAAGAACCCACTGAAAAGTCACTGGGCAGATGCAGAAAGGACAGAACTGGGCTTCAGGGGTGAACCCAACATAGTAGGTACACATGCTGGTTTTAATGACACATACCTGAAATTTATATAAGAGCACTGGGAAAAGTTACTCCAGTTACAAAATTAAATTTAAAAAGAAAGCAAATCTATTTAGAAATGGTATATCATTTTTCTGCTGGAAAAATGGAAATAGGAAAAAGCAACTGTTGAGAACCTTGGTGATAAAAGAGTTTAGCTGAACAATGTAAAATGGCCATAGAAAAATCTAACCAAGACTATGTAAATGCTGGATTAATATCACAGATTAGGACGGACAGGCAGACAGACAGCTACAGACACACACACATACACACACACACAGTGAGAGAGAAAGAGAGTACCCTTGGTAAAGAAAAATATGAACAAGAGCTATAATGTACATCACTATGTACCATACACTCTAGATGCTTTATAAAATGTCACCTCACTTTTTCCTCACAATAACTCATGGTGCAGATGCTACTGCCACCCTATTTGCTAGTCCCCTTTACAGCAGAGCAAATGGACTCACAGTAACCTGCCCAAGCCATTCAATTTAGAGTCCAGCAGCCATGGTGGAAACGAGGCAGTTCTTGTCTCAGTAAAACACTGCCCTGATGCCAGGCCAACCTAGAGCTGCATCTAAGCGGCCTGCCTGGTGGTCGGGATCCATGCAATAGCAGGACACGGTTTTTGTTAAAGATTCATTTATTTATTTGTTTTTGTTAAAGATTCATTTATTCATTTATTTATTTGTGCATACAGAACAGGCCAGAGGCTCAGGGAGCAGAACAGGCAGACTGACGAAGTACACTGCTGAGGGGAGCAGCAGGAGGGTCAGGAGAGGTCTACCACGCCATGTGGTCACCTCCCGGGCAGGCGGGAATCGAACTCAGGCGGAAGTGGCTTTAGCTTCTCAGTGCTGTGCTTTAACCCGCTGCGCCACCAGGGAGGGCCAGCAAGACAAGGTTTTTAAAGTCAACTTCTCTCCCACTGCCTTGCCAGCCATGGAGCATCTCAGCTAGTGGTTCTCCTGGACCCTGACCACTAGTTACCTCGTCCACCTCTACATCTCACATTTCCAGCTCAGTTAATCAGGCCCCTCTAATCCCTGCTAAACCATGTTACCTTGCCATTCCTCCCTCCCTCCATTTACCATAAAAACCTCTCACACTATTTCTCTTAAAATTCCTTTGGAAGGGGCCCTCCCTGGTGGCACAGTGGGTTAAAGCACCACATTACGAAGCTCTCTGAAGTTACTGCAGCACGAGTTCGATCCACCACCAGGGAGCTGACCCACATGGCGCAGCAGACCTCTCCTGAGCAATATATTTCAGTAGATCTGCCTGTTCTGCTCCCCACTCTGTGTCTGGTGAGTCTCTCACCCCCATGCCCACCTCTGGCCTGTACCCCAGTTCTGTATGCATAAATAAATAAATCTTTTAAAAAAATTCCTTTGGAGGGTAGGGGTTAATTACAGCAAGGTGAGGAAAGGGAAGGAAATTTCAGTATTTTTTTTCCCAGGCAAGTCCTAGTCATTGGTAGGGAACAGGCCACACAAGGCCAGCGAGGAAGGCCCAGGAGCACACGACAGCCCTTGTCCTTGACCTTGGGCAACCCTTAAGTACAGAAGACAACTGCAATTCATGTCGTAGGAATGACATGGAGTCTCACGGAGGGAGAAACCCTCCTGTGGTTTTCCTGTGGGTGCCATTTCCCGAACAGCCATGCCAGGCCCACAGGATCCCTACACCCTATCAGCTTTTCTCTGTGCAGATCTGATGCTGGAGTCATCCTAGTGCTGGGGGCGTCCTTGACTGCAGGCTTATTTTTTCTCACTGTGAATTGTCTTTCTTCATAAGAACATACAGCAAAAATTCAGGAACTGGGCCCTAGGCCCTGAATGCAATTTTCTCAAACTCTTTACTCAGTTCTACAAAAAGGAAGGGGCGTAGACAAGAAAAGCAGATGCCTCAGAAAGTACAGGCACATGGATGGGAAGAAAGGTCTGGTTAGCTTCCCAGGAGGAACATCGACCCTGGGGTGAAGTCAGCTCAGGCCTCCTGCCTCCCAATTCTTGAAGCCCAGGGCTGGAGGCCCACCCAGCACTCTCACAGGGTTTTCTGAAAGTCGCTGCTCACTCTTCAGACAGCCCACACTGATGAAATGAAAGGAAGGGTGAGCCCTCCCAGGTCCCACCTTTTTGCTGCTCTTTAGGTTGTGGGGAGTGATAGAAACAGGAAGGACAGGTGACTGACTGCTCATGGCCAGAAATGCAGTGTCAGGACAGAATATTGGCTTCAAGGCGGGCGTGTGCCCAGGCAGGGTGAAGTAGCCTCTCACCGAGGAGTCTGTTTGCACAGCAATATTCCACCCTTGCTTCAATCAGGGACCTCCAGAGATGACCCTCCAGGTGTTTCAAATCCAAGTCTACCATCTCATTTAGTTAAAGGCACAACTTCAAGTAAATTCCTCCTCATGTTAGTCATGCTTCGAATCTCTTCCCTTTGCCTAGAAACTGGAAAGCCTGCCATCTGGCTCAATGAGGGTTAGTTATTAAAGTACCCCTGCTTTTTCTTCCCCCTCTTGTTCTGGGGCTAAGAAGCAAGCAACTTAAATAAATAGGACAAGGTCTAAGTAAGATGCTCTTGATAATCGTCCCAGAAGTCGCAGTTTGGAGTAGCTCTCGGGTCGGAATGCCTGCTGGTTACGGAGACTGGCTGGCAACATCCACATCTAGAGTCTGGGAAGTTTCTTATGCCCCAGACTTGTTGAAACACTGGGTGAGGCCAGACCCTCACTTACCAGCTCTCCCAGAAGATGTCTTGTATTGCTTAATTTAAGTCTGCCCAGACCCTCGGGCCTGCCAGGGCTCACCCCTGGCCCTTGCTCCAACATATCCCAGAATTGCAAAGCCACTCCCTCCATTGTCTCTGCGCCTTCTTCTCACCCCCTGGGCCAGGCCCCTTCCACCCACCCAACTGGACTGTGGTCCCAGTGACCTTTGACCCAGAAGCAGCGCCTGGTACTAAGAATAGTGCCCGTCATGGGAAGGGGGAGCTCACACACTAAATGTGACTCACAATGGTGTCCCTGTCTGGGGCCCCAAGTCAGTCAACGGCGTCCTTCACCATGCTGCCCCCAGTGTCACACATCAGGAATCCGGTGGCATCAGTGGGAAACTATGCCTCTCAAGTGGAAGCTCTGAGCCACAACAACAGAGGGTCCCTGTCACAAGGTAGCCTCTCTCCCAGAAGTGCGGGAGGGCACCACACACACACACTACACCCCCGAGCGGCTCAGCCTCCACACCCCCCTGTGATCCCCTCCCAGCCCTCCTTCACCAGCTGCAGTGGGGAATTTCCTCTCATTGCTTTGCTCGTCTCAGTTTCTGAGTAAGACGAAAGTTCTTACTACAACACACTGTCTCGAATGTGGTACAGCCTTAGAAGACAAAATATCAGGCGGGGACCATCTAGCTTAAAGAGAGTTGGTTATTAAAACCACCCTGCCTTTTTGTCCCTTAGTCCAGAGGTGAAGAAAGAAACAGTGAAATAGGCTGGGCTAAAATCTTCATAAGATGTTCCTGATAATAATCCTTTGCATTTAGCACTCTGTGGGTATCCTTCTTCTCGTCTTCCAGGCTTGGCAGTTGACTCTCCAGAGCAATGAGCTCAAGGCCGGTTCAGGGCTGAACTGTTCTTGACCCTCTTTCCTTTCTAGTTCAATTGCAAAGTTCTTACCCTGTCACTGGTGGCCCAGAGCAAGGCTAACACGTAAGAGTTGACTTCCAAAATAGAACTAGGAGAATGCCTTTCATATTTCACAGTAAGTC